GTGGGAGTGCTGTAGCGTTAATCGCCGCAGTAGCGCTGAACTAGGGAGCCGAAGGTGCTTCACCACCCCCTATGGTTGTTTGTGGTATTGCAGTGCCAGTTTTTCCTCAAAGAAACAGCAGCGTTTTGTTAATTATCTCGCAATTCAATGAGAATCGTTGTAACGAACGTTGTAATGGTGTTTTCATGCTTGTTGTCTTGTAACTGTTGATAGCCACCGATGTATTTCACTACACTAATCGAACAGTGTACAACTGTATACGTGACACATAAAACTTGGTGAAAAAAGATAATACAAAAGAACTTCAGTAAAATGTATTGGTCATTCCGACTTTCAGCACTCTAAGCTTAAAACGTGTCCCGCGCCTATGTGTTATCGTCAGGTGTATTTCTGGTGTGTTGAAAAATCTCTGACCCAGTGGAATGAGTTAGGAGCTAAAACACACCAGTCTATCCTTGTGATTGTGAAAAAAAATGTGCTAAAAGGGAGGCGAAATTGTGCTGTTCGCAGTCCGAAACATTAAAGTAAACACTGATCATCAGAGGAAGAGCTGATGAGTAAGATCTATTTTTTTTTAATCGATTACCATATTTGTCGTGCCAGTCTGAGGGGGATCAAGAGCGCCATCTGGTGGCGAGAAGATGACGGCCGAAACTGCCGTTAGGGAAGAGACACCCAAAGGCATGTCTTTATTGTCGAGCCGACCTGTATGCTCTCCACAGTGCTGCTTGCCCTGCTGAAAGCTGATTGGCCCCAGTCTGCCCCCTCTGCTGTCACTCGCTGATTTTAACACATCATTGGCTAATCAAGAGATTATGCCCCTGCTTATGCCACCCAATCTTACACCCACCAATATGAATGTTTTAATCACAGTGGCGCACTGTGATATGGCACTGAGAAAGTGACGTGCCCTCAGAGAGCTGCCAGTGGAAACAGACCCATATTGCAGCTGGATTTAAAGCAAAGAACCAGGGCAGGATCACAGCCAGTGGTGTGCAGAGCTAGACTAGTGATAACAGAGGTAATAATGCAGGGGTGTCCATTCGGGGCCCTCTGGGCCAGAAGCCGACCAGGAGCTCTCTGTCTCAATGCATGAGAAATATCACGTGATTGCTAAAACAATGAGTAACACAGGATACATGGAAAACATGCACCTTAGAATCATTAATGGGAATTGTTTCAATGATCATCTACCCATTTTCCTTAACTGCTTTTCAAGTACAGTGTCACAGTGAGCATAGGATGGGATGCCAGCCCATCACGACGTACACACAACCACAAACCATGGGCATCAAATCCAGGGGCAGAAATTCAGCCATTTTTGAACTGCGGGAGAAAAGATGCATAAACACAGAGAGAATATGCAAGAGGATGCAAATAAACCCAGAGATGGTGATGTGAGCCCACTCTGCCAGTGACTGCAAATTTCGCTTCTCAGGTGAATCTGGTGCAGATTTATGAAATCTGTCACCCCACTGCTGTCTGGAAACCATTACAAAGATGCTGTGGATCTTCCTATCTACATGCAGAATGCAGTGATTAAGAGTCCTCACTTGTAAGAATATGGGCCTCTCTTTTCCATATTTCTGTACTGCCCTGTGTTGTTGTTGTTGCTCAATAATATTATATTAATTTGTTTAATTTTCACCCAGTATCAGAAAATTACAGAAAAGCATTGATGACTCCTGGAGTGCTTATGAACAATAATCAGAGGTGATTCTGTGATTAGGTCTTTGTCTATGATTTAAGTTTCTGTCTATGATTTAGGTTTCGGTCGATCCCCACTCCCCTGCTTGGAAAATTGTATTGTCGGGAGTGCCCCCCCCCCTGGGAAATTGAATGAATGAATGAATGAATCAATGACTGAATGAACGTCTACATGTGCAATTTCAATAATTGAATAGTCACTGAAAACAGCAGTTAACATTCTGGACATCGATCTGAACATTTGATTCATCGCCAGAATGACAATTTCATAAGAATGGGTGTCTGTATATCCAAAAGGGAATATTAAGGTGTAGCAGACAGAAAGACGGGAGCCACAACGTTTTATAAAAGAAAACAAAGATCAGTAACCTCTGCATAAAAGATAATGACGTACACAGTAAAGCATTTTCAAACAAAATAGGCACAAATGCCTCTCTTACATATTTATTTTGCTTCAGCCGCAAAACATTTGAGCAGTTTAAAGCGCTTCAGTTTTATGGTAAGAAACAAACTGCCATTTATAAAGTATTCTAAGAGTAGAACAGGAACTCATGCAAGGTAGGCTGTGACTTGTGCGGAAGTATACGTTTACCTCTGAGGACGAGATGAAAAGTATTATTGAAATATGTGGAACTATTGTTTTCCCGCGAGTTAACGCCCCTTTGAAGTTAAAAGCCTTGAAGCCATAGTTAAGTTATCCTTTGGTTTTGGAAACGCTGCAAAGATCAGTTTGTGTAATAGCTGGTTTATCTGCATCGGATTTATATCCTTCCCCACAGTTTGTTCTTGAAAGGGTCCCCAATTAATGTTTGGGAGGGGACTCACTTTCAGAAGATCACAGGATCGACTCTAATTACCCTTCTCTAGAGGAAGGAGTCGCGGAAGCCCGACAAGCCGCCAAAAACAACGCACAGCACTATTCTAACAAAACATTGTTAGATATTTAAAGCAGCTAAATATTTAAAAATGTCAGCATACTTTATTTTACCAGGCCTATTTATAAAAACCATTAATTTACTGTTTGGGAAGCAGAGTAGCCACGTGTGTTGAGTTTGCATCTCCTCTCTTCCTTGAGTAGGCCAACTCTGGTGGGCTTCCTTAACCCAAACAGGTGAATTAGCATCTCAAAGCTGCGCACAAGGTGTCGCATGACCTTTATCCTATATCTCCTGGCATAGTCTCATGCACCAAGGTCCCGTACCTGCAACAAATGGAAGATGCATCGATGTGTGAGTTCAAAGTTATGCTGGACCACTAATATAGTTATTATATTACTTATTTGGACACGTTTCGATAACTTTATTGCTCAGATAGTGGTTTCTAAATACACTCAGTGACAAAAAACTTAAGCACCCAGACGGAGTGGTGGAAATGAAATGAATCTGCAGGTGGCGAATGGTCATGTGACTGTATCACAATGATTATGATATTAGACCAAACGGACAACAGAGTTGGCAGGATGGGCACACTGCTGGTCCCACATCAGTGGGGTGGGGTGTGGCACCCCCTCCGGCCAGGATACATGTGGCGATACGGTGCAGAAGGGAGTCATACAGCTATTGTATAATCTCCTGCGACAAGTCGGCCCACAGCTACTGTAACTGGCCCTCGAGATCCTGCAGATTGGCATTCGGTCTGAGTTGACGTCCGAGCTGATCCCTCACATGTTTGGGTGGGGAAAGATTTGGGGCCCTGGCCGGCCACAGGCGGACCTTAACATGACACAGGTCCAGATGTGCCATGAATGGATGGGCGTTGTCTTGTTGAAAGACATGTGCAAACAGATAGGCCTTCACTGTCAGAAAAGAGAGTACAGTCCTAGTACAGTTTTATACCCTACGGTACAAAAATGTTCATCAGAAGCATTATCTGTACCTTAAAAGGAACATTCACATACAGCTACTGTACTATTGGCAGGTGCATGAGGATACAGTTCCAGTGGCAGTGCCCTCAAAGGTACAAACTGGTACTTTTTTTCTGACAGTGTAGTTGTGGAGATTCACAGAAACATATTCACAGACGGTGACTGAAACAGATTATATGTGACTGTTGGGTCTGCAGCCACAATCCCTAGCCAATACACAGTACTGTGCAAAAGTCTTAGGCAGTCAAAGAAAATGGCAACTTAACTTGAGAAAGTATGCAAATTAGCAGTGACACAAGAAATGAGCGAGAATATCTCCTGTTCTCCAGAAAGTTACTGATATCTTCTTAGATGGCTAGATGAACATTGCTTTGGTTCCCAAACCTCTCCTCAGGGTGCTCCCAACCATGTATTTGTTAAATTTCACAAACAGCTCAATTAATTAATGAACTTAATTAGTTCACAAACTATTTGAGTTATTGATTAGCCATACGATGTGGGATAGTGGTCCAGTCAAAAAAAAACTTGGTGTATTGGATGGTTGCTGCAGACACTGGGGTAACCTTAGGAGAATGACTAAGCTGACACACTTTGGCAGACTTAATATCATAGTTTTTCACCAACATGAAGTTCATTTAACCATCCTTTTCTTTGACTGCCTAAGAATTTTGCTCAGTATAGTATATAGTACTGTATAATTAATGCAAGCAGTTCAAAGTAAAATCTACATAAATAATTTTTAAAAACTTTAAATCAGCGTTCTTTTGGACACAGGATATTCCATATCATAATTACTGTAGGTTTTTTTTCTCTCAGCCTCCCTGAAACACATTTTTTCAAATACATTTAACAATTTGTTACATATTTTCGTGCACATTAAATTCCCCCCCTAGCTCTAACTCATTTAATTTTTTTTGCATATAACACTGTTTTAAGTTAGAGTTTTTCCAATCAACTCCTATGTTCATCTTGAAGATGTTCGTGCGCCTCCCTGTGGTCCATATCCGCTAACACTGTTTTCTGACTTTTCTCGCGTTGACACTTGACACTTCTAAAATTATTGTTAGTTATTTGATTTTTTTTTTAACAGGTAAATCCAGAATGTGATCTTCAGCTAGTCTATAATTATGATATAGTTAAAATAGTATGGCCTACTTAATGCGAGTGTCTTAAAAACTATAGTTGCTACATATACATTACCATTTTTACATTTATAAAAGATCTAAAAGAATGTAAATGTTAAGTTTGGAAATATAATGCTTAAATTTATTAGCAATTGAAGTAAGTACAATTTGTACAAATCAAACTTTCAGTACTGGAGGTGGTCGTGAATCCTACAGGTAGCGCACTGTGAGATTTGAGATGCCTTTTAACAAATGCATCGACTCCTGCGCCGGTTTCCTCGTACCCGAAAGCGCGCGCCGTCCCGCTGCTGATTCACGGGACTCTGGCTGCCGGCGCCTCGCGGAGCTGCTCGCGTCGGACCTGCCGCGCCTCCCCTCCCCCCCCCCCCCCGCCAGTCATCATGGCGGAACTGTGATGTCCGAGGCGAGACACTCCGCGTCGGGACCAGTGTTATTTATTTATTTATTCGCCCACCGAAGCCGTACGCCCCGCGATGACCCGCTGGATCCCCACCAAGAGGGAGAAGTATGGCGTGGGTGAGTGGTTTCACGCCGCGCCGCGTTGAGGCAGCGGCGGCGGCACTTCGCCTGCGTGCCCGTCCCGTCACGTCCCCCACCGAACCTCGGCGCTAGGTAACTTCAGTCACACCGTGAAACTTTTCTGAGGGGGAGCCGAGAGGTACGGCGCCCGGCCCCGACTCCCGCTTGCCAGTCACGGTGCGCTGAACACGGATTGAGCTCCGGTCTGAGGCGCCACTTCATAAACGGGGCTCCTGGCGGTGAGTGAGGGGGAGCGGGGGCGGTGCGTCGGCTCGGCTCCGGCGGGACAGCCGGGAAAGGGCGAGCCCGAGAAGGTGCCGGCCGCTTGGAAGCGCACACGGTGACTTTTTTTAGAGCAAAAAACTTTTTCTCCTCGCTCAAGTTACCGATGTGGCCACGGCGTGCTTTTGGTAGTTAGCAAATGGATAGAAACACATTCTTTTAAGCAAAAGAGTTAATTCAGTGAGGCGGAGACGGGGGCGCAGTGTATGAGGAGTGCGCTCCGCAGCTCCGGCACACCCAGAAGGTAAACGCGGCGGGCGACCGGCACCCGTCATCGGGACTGCACAAGTCGACGGCACGCCGCGCGGAAGCAGACTCGTAAAATCGGGCTCGCAAGTGGAAAGTCCCATCAGAAGCGCCCGGTACCGTGTCACGTTAAACCCCTACATCAAATCCCATTGCATGTCCCGGGTAGCAATCCCACGATAAAATTCGTGGACAAACTCAGTACATCAATGCAGCAACAGATGCATCTAATGTGTCGTTTGATAAATTGCTTTTTTGCAAGGTATAGCATAGAAAAAAAATGCGTTTTAGAGGTATTTATTGTACTACAATTTTATTCTAAAGAACATCATCGCAATAAATCCAACCTTGCGCTGTTAAATCTGTTTGAATATAGACTGTTTTGAGGGAGAGGCAGTCCTTGGTCTTGAGCAGTGAATGCCATACTCGGGGTAAAGCATATCCCTAGGCTATACACAGCAGGACACACGTGGAAAGATAGACGGGTTTATTTCAAAATGTCTATCACGCCTCTCAGTGAAGGTGAGCTGAGGCTTTGCTCTGCAGGCACGCAGTGGAGGTGACTGAGCCGTGACCTGCGGGGTGACAAGGGGCAATCCCCTCCTCCCCAAGTGTGACACGTCCTTTTCCAGGTCACCCCTGAGCTGCTGCCCCTCATAATTAGCAGAGCTGCCCTGTTGTTTTTATTAACGTCTGTTCGGGTCATTTCTTCTAATCATTTTACTTTTTAATTTTTTTAGAAGCGTTTACTTCTTTTTTTTTTTAAACTACTGTCATGACTGGTGCTTTCTGATGGCTATAATTGTTTGCAGAAGTAAACATGTTTCCTGCTTCCCAGGTCACTGCACTGTGATTACACATGGCCTCTGCCCCAACCCCCATCCCAATGCATGTCAGTTTGATTCGTACACGCATGCTGTCACTGCGTGGGACAAAGCATCTCTCAGGAGCTGCCCGGCGTAGGGTCTGTATGATGCTTGGGGTGGGGGGCGGGGAGGTGCAGACAGAAAGACCTGTTGCTTGCTGAGATCGGTGACGCGACGCGTCGGCTCGTGCCTTTCCAGGCAATGATGTCAGAAGCAGAGAGGGAACAATGCCTCGAGTGACCCATGTTGGCCCTGTGTGACCAGCGGGGGCGCTGTGGAGTCGCTGTCAGCAGGACACTGTGGGCGTGGCCTGGTCCTTCTCTGGCCTGTGAAGTGGTCCATTGTATCTCTGTGTGAGTGCTGTCCATAATAAAGGCTGTTGTTTTCCCCGATTTTGTGTGTCGATCTCGACCCCGAGGTCTTTATAGGACAGTCAGAAAACTGCTGGTCACTGGAAGAGGACGGCCTTCCATCTTTGAGCTTCTTGCTCTCTCTGGTTAAGCTGATCCAGAATCGCTTGCCAGCCCCTGCTTATTCATAAGCTTACGAACACACTTTTTGGGTTTTTATTTCAAAATGTCACTTTTTTTTTTTTTACATTTAGCTGTTTTTTTTTTTTTTTACCCAAGTGTAACTTCTCATTTTTGTATAACAGGCGTGCATGATGGGTGATGTGGCTGCATATCAGTGTTAGTGATTTTGGCCGGCATGGCGGCTGGTTTGTTAGGAGGTTCTTTGCTTCTCGTGTTTTTGTGGATATTATTTAGGTGCTTTATCTTCCTTCTAGAATCTGGAATCTGGGCGAGTTGATGTCCACTGGCACTGTCTGCTTAGGGCGTGCCTGCCTTCTCTGTGACGGATGGGAGTTCTGTCCATTGTGTTCACCAGTGCTCCTGGATTATCAGGATCCTGCCATTTCGTGTGAATGACGATGGTTGCTAGGCCGGGAGTAGCTGCACTGGACTCTGATGATTTAGTTCCAGCAAGATGGAGGTGTCTTCGTTTGGCCAGAGCATGGTGTGTGCAGGGTAGTCACACCGCTGCGGGTGGGGGGGGAGAGAGATACTGATCGAATGAGCATGTTGCAGAATTTCCCCAGAGCCCCCCCCCCTCAAGTTCCTGGCCCCCAAAGCCTCTTCCTCCTCGGCGGTCAGTGTTGGGGCTTGATTGTGGCGTTACTGCGTGGTAAACCAGCTGTGCCAGGGACTGATAACGAGTGACAGGACGCGTCTATTTCTGCAAACGGTCTGTATAAGAAAAATAACTTCTTAAAAAAAGGAAGAGATAATTTCCAGTTCTCGGAACAGTTAAGCTGAAGCGCAGCTCGTGGGGTGAAGCTGCATGACCGTACCTGCAGGAGTCATACACGCACTCCAGGCCCCAGGATCCAGGCGCTCCGCACGCTCGGCGCTAGCTGCCTCGGCACGCGGGCGTGTTTGCCCCCTGGCAGGCAGGACTATGGCAGGGCATGTCTGGACAGGGGCTGTGCCTGTGTGTGCTGGGGGCGGGGGATGGAGAGGGAATACCGTGAAGGAAGGTGGCGTGGGAGGGGTTGGTTGGAATTGACGCATAGTTTTACTGCTCTTTGACTCCCACTCGTAACCTTCAGGGGGAGACAGGGAGTCAGGCCGGGGTTCTTGTCTGGGAAAGCTGCACGGGATCTTAGATGCCACAGGGATACGGCGGGATTCCCTGGGAAACGCAGAGGAGCTGCTGACTGTGGTACCAGTTAAACCCCCACCCACCTCCCCAGTGTCCAATTGAAGGGAGATGCCCCCCTGAAATTAGCAGAGTAGGGCCAGTGATGTGGGCTTACAGCCAACACCCAGCACATCCTGTGGTTTGTGACATGTCTCAGCACAGCCAGTTGGCCTGTGTAAACGGGTCACATGGTTGCAAACGTTGCTGTCAGATATCGGCTGTTGTACTCTTAACCTCAGATTTTCCCATAACATGTTTTGGTACAGTATTCTCCTGCATAAATGAGGTATTCTAAAGATTTTTTAGGAAACTTTGAAAATAGCATTTTATTTAAAATTTCTTTAAGATGTCATGTCTTTTAAATGCAGGTAAATATTTTTTTCAAATGACAGGTGTGGCTGCAGTTCATTTTTCACATTCCTAGTTACGGTAATTACTCTTTGGTATGCTTGTGTGCATTTTTGTCCAGTTAGAATTCACCTGTCGCTTTAAGTTACACAAAGCAGGAAGGACTCCTTCCCCCCCCACCCCACCCCCCTCATGGTCTGAGGCGCATCACTGTCACATAACCCTGCTTGCGGTGTAAGTGGCGTTCACATGCCATGGCTCGCCAATATCTGTCACTTCTTTGTTTCTGAGGTGAGGTGTAAGCTGCTCAGGCTGCGATCAGGTAGGGGGAACTCCATTAGTTAGCTTGTGGGGGGGGGGGTGGTGGTAGGTGAGAGCCCCCCCCACCACACACATACACACACACACACACACACACACACACACACGCAACCAATCAGAAATATCTTTTAACTTCCTTTCTGATCTTGCTCTTCCTGTCCACTCCCTTTTTGTCTTCCTGTTTTCATTCAATAATGCTCCCCCCATCATGCCCAAACATTATTGTGGGGCACCCCATCACTCACCATGGCTTCCCCTCCCCAGCGATCTACAACTATGACACCGAGAAACCACACGAACTCGCTCTGCAGGTGGGGGACACGGTGCATATCCTGGAGACGTTTGAAGGTGAGAGCTGGGACTCGCCTACATGCCCCTCTCCTTGGGAACACTTGTGCTGGGCTTGCCCTGCAAGATCACACAAGGTTGCTTAAGTTCGCCGCAGTTACATCTGCGGGAACTGGGGGATGGTGATTTCAGCATCTGCATTCTGATGGGGAAGTTGAGTGCTGTTTCTCACTGGTGACAACATGAAGTTCACTCTGGTGCGTCTCTCTTTTTGCCCCACCCCCTTGGCGCTTGCCCAGACTGGTATAGAGGATACACCCTCCGGAACAAATCTCAGAAGGTATCTACGTGACCTTTATGTTCACATAGGTGCGTACTAGACATGCAAGCAGTAACTGACCACGATTTTTATATTCTTTCTCATAGGGCATCTTTCCAGCCACCTACATCCACCTGAAGGAAGCCAGAGTTGAAGGCATCGGGTAGAGTGGGGGGGTGCTGGGCCTCTCAAACTCCTCCTGGGGCTCCAGGGCGATGCTATTTATGCAGCCGCTTAAACGCTCACTTTAAAATGCTCAGGGTCAGCGGTTGGAGGGAGAGGATGACTTTTCCTTTTTTAAGCCAGCAGGTGGCAGAGTGGTTATGGAGCTGGACTTGTTGGATAGGTGCTCAGGGCTCGTGTCCCAAAGACTGATGTGAGCCTACCATCCAGTTATATGAACAAGTCACATCAAAAAATAATGCATTGAAGGATCAGTCTTTGTCATCTAAAGGCATGATTATATGCATTTTCTCGATAATTATTATGGGTTACTTTAATCTTTCAGTCATGTTCAAGAAAGTTTCAGTGTTATTATGAACCTGGGAAACTTGAGGAGACCTGAACAATGTAGGGCTGGATTTACATTTGCTAATGTAAAATTATAATAATTGATGGCCTAATTAATTAATGAATAATGAAGGCAAACGAGCAGATAATTTCACTGTAATGCTAATGTAATGGGCAGATATATATTAATCACCAGTATTGTTCAGCGACTTTTATGTTACAGAAAAATGAAAGCTTGTCCTCCGCTAACCTCTTTCTAAAGCGCCTTTAACTGCTCGACTCAACAGCTCGATCAAAGGAGAATATGTAGGCGAGAGCCTAGTGGAAATACAGTAGTATGAGTGGGTGTGAACTTCATGTACCTGCCACGGAAACACTAGTGCGGGTTAGGGTAGGGTGGAGTGACCTCGGGAAACCATCAGGCCTTTTGAAGGTCACCGTCCTGTAGAGGTGTGGATTATAGCTTTTGAAATGCCTATCTCACTGGTGTGGGTTGGTGTGGTATGGAAATCCTTGCGCTAATCGTGTTTCACGTTCTCTTAATCCTGCCTCTGACTCCACCCCTGACCCACTGACTCTGCCTCTGACCCACTGACTCTGCCTCTGACCCACTGACTCTGCCTCTGACCCACTGACTCTGCCTCTGACCCACTGATCCCCACCCCTGACTCTGCCCCCTTCTGTGCCTTGCAGCCAGCAGGAAACCGTTATTCCAGCAGATCTGCCTCTAGTACAAGAGCTGGGGGCCACCCTTCGGGAATGGGCACAGATTTGGCACAAGCTCTACGTGGTGAGTACGTCCCCCGCCGTTACAGGAGTGTCTCCACGGTAAAGTGGTAACTGACCCTCTCTTAGAGGCTTATTTGTAGAGTGAGTTCTGTGTTGGATATTAGTGAGCTATTAGTTCAAATACTCCAGGTCCATCGGGGCCTGGGTCTGATCAGCCCTGCCAAAGCAAGGGGGCTTAATGGTCGACGTCGATGTCGTCTTTTCCGTTTGTTTTCCTTGGCAGACGAACCAGACCGCCCTGTTCCGCAATGTGCAGCAGATGGCCTACAGCCTCATCGAGTACCGCTCACAGATTGTGTCCGGAACGCTGCCCAAGGACGACCTGATCGAGCTCAAGAAGAAGGTCACGGCCAAAATCGATTATGGAAACCGGTGAGATGCTAGTTTTTACTTTGTCTGCATAAATGTTGTTACTACATCTTCTGGGACATGGTAACGATTGACCTTAATGGCTTCCTCTTTGTTTTATGGGAGATTTTTTGCTAATTTGTGGTATGGCCACTTAAGATTTTAAACCTTGGCCTGTTCCAGTTCATAGTTGTACCTGTTTTCTTGTAATTGGACGTAGGTCACCTCTATGTTTGGGCAATATCTAATTTTTCATACTGGCATACCTCCCATAGCGTATTTTCAACAGCAGTACTATTCCTGTATTTTGAAATCTTGGCAATAAAATTCTCTGAAGGGGGGTGAATTATGCGATTTCCCAAGATTTCAACATACCATGGTATTTTGGGTATATACTGTTTTACCTTAATATTGGCCAAGCCTCGTCATGTGGTGTACACTTGTTGTCGTGAAATGTGCTCTTTAAATAAATATTACTTACGAGGTACTTACTATCTCCTGGCTAGTTCAGTGGTTCCCAAACTGGGGGGCGCAGAGGTATTGTGGAGGGGCGCACCAATGGGATAGCCTCAGGGGCATGTGCCACCCTAAAATAATCTCTTCACAGACTGGACGATTAAACAAATAAAGCAGCGCAACATTACAGTAACTAACAATAAATAAACCACTAACTTACGTGTACTATTAGAGCGTTTGGGAACCACTGGGTTAGTTGAAGGTACCGATACTGCTTTTGAGTTTGTGCATGCTGTGGTTTATATGACCCCCACCACACACACACACCACCTCTCCTCCTTTTTGCTGGGCAGGATACTGGGCCTGGACCTGGTGGTCCGGGATGAGGTGGGGAACACACTGGACCCGGACTGTACCAGCACGATCAGCCTGTTCCGGGCACACGAGACGGCATCCCGCAGCATCGATGAGAGGATTCAGGAGGAAAAGGTCAGCCGTGGGGGAGTTAATCTCTTTGGGCGTTTGGCCAAAGGGAGCTGGCTGTTCCAGAGGCTCGTGCATGGTGACGCTTTCCTTCATGTTTGGCTGTGTGAGGGGTGTGGAGTTTGGGTTAGGTTTTGAGTTAGGGTTAGGGTTAGGTTTTGGGTGTTTCTTCAGGTGGAACACAGTGCTCTGGTGAAGTTTGCAGAAACCAGAGCTGGGTATCGATTTATAATAAAACTGAAACCTTCAAGTAATCTCATAAAGGACACAGTGTGTCCGTCATGCTGTGCTAAGTCATCTCTCTACCTACAGACTCGGCTGCAGAACCTGGACACCCGTAGACAATCCCTGTTCAGCACGGTCCACACCTACAGCCTTTTCATGAACCTGAAGAACTTTGTGTGTAACATTGGGGAGGATGCCGAGCTGCTGATGTCGCTCTATGACCCCGACCAGTCGGAATTCATCAGGTCTGCTGTTGGGGGGGCGTGGTTTCGTAAAGCTCGGCCACCATGTGTCAGGTGCAAGGTGTTGCTCTGTTTCTGAGTGACACTGAGACCCTGTCTGCTTGCTGCAGTGAGAACTTGATGGTGCGCTGGGACAGTACAGGCATGCCCAAGGAGATCGAGAAGCTCAACAACCTCCCCGCCCTATTCACGGTGCGTCAGCCGCCCTCTGGCCCTCTCCAGCCTCCTTTATTTTCTTCTGACAGCCTCCATTTCCCTGCATCAATTGGCTCTTCATCCCCCGAGCCCCTTTCATCCTCTGTTGAGTCCTCCTCTGCATGGTGCCAGTTCATTCCTCTGTAGCTTGCTGCATTTCATTAATGTGCACCTTATCATAAAGCTAGATATTCAAGAGAACAAGTTAGGCATGTGGCTGAGCCAGTGGGAGGCTGAACCTGACCTTCTGCCCACCTCAGACTCTGTTTCCATCCCCAGGACCTGAGCAGCAGTGACCTCATCCGCCAACGACTCTTCCTAGTCTGTCAGATCGTGCGAGTCGGCTGGTTGGAGGCAAAGGATGGCAAGAAACAAACAGCCGGCCTACGCAGGCCCTTTGGCGTGGCTGGTGAGTGCCTCCCCCTTCAGGCAGGGCAGGGTAGTACAGCTGGTTGTCTTGCTAGCATGTAGTCTGACATGCACCATGTGTTTTCTTTTGTACTACACCACGTCATCTGCTTTCCTGTATGCCAAGTGTGGTGTCTGGTGGTCTGTCTTACATATAGTTTAGAAAATGTATTATTTGACTTGTGCTTGTTCAGCGTGTGGTTCATTTAGTCTACCATGTGTTTTGGTCAATGGGCAGTTTGGTGTAATTTTGTTAAACATTGGCTTCAGCGTTTAGTCCATCGCCCAGCATGTATTTACGTGTGTGGTGCAGCCTGATTTGCGTCCAGCATGCGTTTCGGTACATGCTGTAGCCCGTCCACTTTCATCGTCTTTTCTTTCACTAAAGAAACTGTGTTAATGTTTTTGCAAGAAGACGACGTGGAGTTTTAGTTTAGCTTTAGTCACATGCTTCTGCTTTTATGGGCGATGAAGAGGCGGAAGTCACAGTTGTTCTCTCCTTTGACCCTTGGAGGCCCTGAACCCCCCCCGTCCCCTAGGGAGAAATTTCTGGAAATGCGATAAATGGCCGCCTGTGTTCTGAGGGGAGGATCGGATTTCCGTGTGTAGCAGGCAGCTGACATTACTGCCACCACATGGAGGGGGGGAGTAAGTGGACAGAATCATGATGTGATGGAGAGAGCGAGAGCATGATGCTCCCCCCAATGTCTTTCACAGTCAGCCTGAGGGATGTAACTGATCCCAGATCATGTTTGATGAGAGGAGTCACTCGCTATTGTATTTGCCTCCTTTTGTCATGGGTCATGTGACCGCGTTGTTGTAGAGCCTTCTGTGCAGGGCGGCAAAGATCAGCGGTGCAGCTTTGCTCAACTGCTGTAAAACCATTTAGCTGGGTGAAAAATGATCTAAATGTGACTGTGCAGTGATTTGTATTGAGTTTCAAAGGTTCAGTGTGAAAAGATGTTCCCAATTCTGCTCTGTAAGAAACGAAAGGCGTTTTCATGCGGGAACGAGGAAGCACAATACAATACAATGCAACCCAACACAATGTAATACAAAACACGCAAACAAGCAAATACATGATTAACGCAACAAGCAAAAATCCCAATACGGTAAATGTTCTCATATTTGGCAATGCTGGGACCAAACCAGTGCTGAAAAGTTGAGTTGTCTAGATAGTTGTATTCTGTTCTTGAAACCCACTGAAGTGTAACGTCATTAATGAAATTGAATATTCAGTAGAACACAAGATTGCGTGGTAAACAATGGTGGAACAAGTGGAGAGACGACTAAAGTATGTCGCTCTGTAGGCATGCACAGGAACTGCCATATGTATTGCGCAATGCTTATAGAGTGGTACCTCAGAACTCGAATTTAATCCGTTCAGAACTTCGGATCGAATCCTAAAAAGTTCGAGGTGTGATCGAATGTTCCCCATAAGAAATAATGGAAAACCAATTAATTGGTTCCCAGCCCCAAAAAATTACACCTAAATGTTTTTTTTTTTTTTTTTTTTTTTTAGCATATAAACACAAAATGAACCGGATAAAACAAGAACTGTACTAAACACGTCTAAGCACATTTATCAAAACTGTAATTTGTAAAGTATCCAGTGCATCCAAACAATGTGTAAAGTTAAAAAAAAAAAGTGTCCTGCCCCGATCGTCTGCTCCTTCCGTGTGCCACGCCCCCTCGTTAACCCTGTGTGGAATCCCCGTGTGGAATCCCCATGTGATCAGCTGTTTGTGGTTGTTGTCATTAGTCCTCTGTATTTAGTCTGTGTTTCACTTTGTTTCCCCACTACGGTAATTGTATTGTCCGTCTGCGTTTTGCCTGCCTTACCTGTAATTAAACACCGTATTCCCCGATACCCTGCCGTCTGCGCCTTTGTCTCCGTTCCGTCCCCGCTCGGCACGACAATATTATTATAATTAAATGTATTAATGGTTTATTAATAATATTAAAATAATTAATATGTAATCTTTATTTTTAAATGTATTTTATTATATAATAATTACTGTTACTGTCTATCATTGTCTAAATGTATTTTTACTGTGTAAATATACAGGTCCTTCTCAAAAAATTAGCATATTGTGATAAAGTTCATTATTTTCTGTAATTGACTGATAAACATTAGACTTTCATATATGTTAGATTCATTACACACAACTGAAGTAGTTCAAGCCTTTTATTGTTTTAATATTGATGATTTTGGCATACAGCTCATGAAAACCCAAAATTCCTATCTCAAAAAATTAGCATATT